TGGAAGGAAAGGAGCAATATAACCCATAACATCTATACAAGAAGCACAATCATCAAAATAAGAGCTATAATGCTCACAGTACACAAAAATATCCAGAAAGTAAGCAAAATGCATATAGAAAGTCCAAGTACATCATGAAATAGAAAATAAAAACATGAGCATGGAAAAGATACCCTTCAGAAACTTTGATGAAGAGATTTTTTTTAGGGACAATCAGATCATTGACCACTTATTGCGGTCATGTGTCCGGGTCTATTGACCAAGGCCTTGGCCCTACGATCTTCTCAGAAAGATCTTGCTCTTTTCCTTTGAGCCACTTTCTTTTGATTTACTAGGCATACATGATTTTACTCTTTACCCTTGTCAGAGTGTACATCCCATAACTGTAGATAAGTTGGACAATTGCAATGGCGGTGGAAAGAAAGAGGAAAAAAGTGGAAATGAGTTTTTGAATATTAAATTTTGCCCTTCAAAGCCATGTGAAATTCTCTTTTATACGTCCACCATAAAATTAATTGATTAGAACTAACAAAAAGAAAAATAAAGGAAAGATTTGTCAAGGAATAATCACAAAATAATCATAAAGTAAGCAGTCTTTATGTCACATTACGAAAGGCCTCGTTTAAAAGAATATGTCATCTAGGGGCTATACCGAGACTAATGAGTAAAAAGTCTAAAGCAAGAAGTGATCTTAGAAACCAATCGCGCTCTAGTGAAAAACTTCAATATCTTTTTCATTTAGAAGAAAACCAAAAATTGTGTTTTCGTTATGGTTACAAAAGGACAATTACTTAAATACATTTGTGTCATTGGTCAAGGGGTCTAATTTTACTACAATCACTTGAAATGCGTTTGGATAACATCCTTTCTTTATTGGGTATGGCTTCAACTATTATTCAATCTACCAATTAGTTAACTATAGACATATTTTAATTAGTGGTCGTATAGTTTGATATACAAAATTATTGTTGCAAACCTTGAGATATTATTAGGACAATTGATAACCAAAATTCTAAAAGCTCTAATTAAAAATGATCTTAATTCATCCCACTAAGAGGAATTACCAAAACAATTGACTCTTCATGCATTCAAATATAAAGGATTAGTCAATCAAATAATAGATATTAAATGATTGGTCAACCTTAAACCTACCTTAAATAAGAAAGGGTTCGTACAATTTCCTTTTTTGGCCTAAGTAAAAGGGAACAAAGTAAGGAAATTGATCTAGCGATTTGGTTTTTCTCTTATTCATATATCATAGATCAGTAGGAAGATTTTTCTCCCTTGCCCACTCTTTCTTTCGTTGATTTTCCGTATCTCAAAATTAGGAATTGAGAATCTAATTCAAAGAAAGGTCTAACCGGTTAGTATTCATTGTTTAAGTATAAAATTCTATTGGCAAATATATAACTCTAATAATATAAAAGAAGTCGTCAGCTTCAATTGAGATGGGACTGGAATGTGATGCCTAAGGGGTGCTAAGTGAATAAATGAATGATAATTATTAATAGCTAGGCTACGTTACTTTGGTAATCTATCTTTTAATTAGATCATTACCTTGTTTGTTTCACTAGATAATTTTTTATTATTCAGATAATATGAGAAGTGATATAGGAGGTTATGTGATTACTGACTCAGAATGCGGTATTTTAAGATTACCGTGGTAATCTTATTTTTGTTCTAATTTTACCCTTAGTTAATAAAAATATCGAACACAAATGCCCTCCTTTTGATGTCAAATAACAATTAACTCAACTTATTGAATGACTTCTTTAACCTCGTTAATTAATTATTTGGACAAAAAGGCCCTATATATAATGATGATAATAATAATAATAATCTTGTGAAAGACATTTCAAAAAAATAATATCTATTTTGTAATTGCTATCAATCAAATACATTAATTATTTATACAGTCTACACAAACCAATCACAATAATAATTTAATTCATTAATATTAAAAGTTATCTATCTCATTTGTAATCCTATATTTTTTATAATAAAACATTATCGGAACCAAACAGTCCCTTATATTAATATTTCTTGGATGCTTAAGCCACACCTTTTTCTTTTCGAAAAATACTAAGTCTACAATTCAATCTCACAACATTCTTTCACAACTCTCGATGTGATAACTCATAATTGATTAGCTCATAAATAAGTCACATTTACTTACAGTGGACCCCGTCTACCTAACCAATTACGAGCAATGTTCTGAAACCCGGACCGAACCAGCCAATACCGAGAACCGGCCACCTGTCCGGTCCAAGGTTTAATAAAAACCGGTAAAAGCATTTGAGTTTTGACTCGGTTAAGACCGGATTTAGACATGATGAACAGTGACAAACCGCCGGTCCAACCGGATTGATCACAAAACCGGGTCATTTGAAAACCAAAAATCCTTCGTCTCTTCCTTCGTCATTCTTCAATCTTCTTCTTGATTCTTGCAGCAGTGGCCACCACCTCCTCCTTCCACATATGACATTCCTATTTCTCCAAACCATTTTCTCTCACCCTCTCCTCCTCCAAAAACAACAACAGCAGCAATAGAAACAATAAACTCAACGACCTCATTATGAACAAGCGTCTTAGTCAGAACCAAACTCATAAACTATCACTTTCAACATCAAAATCAAAGCGTTCAACATCAAAATCGCAACTTTCAGCATCAAGAAGAATACCCACAAGCCAAATTGGTCTTATTCTTCTTCTTCATGTTCTCTTAGAGACGTGGCGGCGCGTGTGATTCAAACCCATTCCCGAGCCTTTCTTGTGTGTAGATCCAAAACCCTTAGACCTTTTCGCCTTTTTCCTTGATGGTGGCTTTCAAACCATGTTAGCCATTTTTGTGTTTGCTAGTGATTAAGGAAACAACAATGGGGTTTTGTTGAAAAAGCATGTTGTGGCTTAGCCAAAAGTGAAGAAAAGTAAAGGAGAGGGGAATGAGAAAGAAGGAAGAGGATGAAGTGAAGAAGTTAGAGAAGAAGAATAAAGGAAGGAAGAAGAAAGTTACAGAAGAGAGGGGAAACTGGAGAGTGATAGCAGAAAGAAGAAACTGACGAAGAGAAAGAGAAAAACAAAAAAAAAAGGATATAAGCTGCAGGGGTGTTTTTGCTGGATTTCAAACCTACAAAGACTGATGGGTATTTATCTGGGGTGTGTTTGCTAGGTTTCAAACCTGCAGGGGCTGATAGTGATCAGCGGTCAGACCGACCGATCGGACCGGTCAACCTGGAAACCGGCTGCCTAACCGGGTCATTGGATAGGTCGGTTTTCATAACATTGATTACGAGCTATCACGTTGAAAATTATAAAAAAAGATTATAAAATTTAATTATAGAACTAGCATTATTGTTTTATTTTATTTTCTTTTTTAAGATTTATTTATTTCTCGTTTACAAGTTTCTAGCATTGTTTTAAAAATCGGATCGGAGGGCAACCCGCTCTGATGGCTAGGTCACGGTTCAACCGGTCCAACCGGTTGGACTGGTGACATCATCACACATCATGATGATGTCAGCACATTTTAAAAAAAACCGTCAAACTTAATAAAAGATATGTTATTGTTATTATAAGGGTGTCTTTGGTGCTAACTTAAATGTAAAGGGATTAATTGCAAGAATTTCAAAACAAATGAAGAACCAACCTTTCTCTCTCTCACACTCACACCCAGCACTGCAACTCTCAGAGTTTTTGTTTGCATTTGAATTTTGTAAAACACTAAAAACAAAATACAACAAGATAACATTTGTGTTATGTGTACGTATGGCTTGGTAGAATGAATGTTAATCTAAATGAAAAGGGAAAATTAGTTAAAATTAAAAAACTGATTGGTTCATTCATTTGAGTGGATGTCATTGATTCACATAAATGCATTTGGATGGTGCATTAAATTAAAATGAGCAGTCAAATTATCCAATTCAGTGAACAAATTATCTATCAAAGCATGAAAGCAATAGATTCATAAAAAAAAAGAGTGGAAATATCTTTACAAAAGAGAGTGTTGTCATCGTCGATTCCAGCGAAGAAGGGAGGCATTGTTGTCCGTCGCCGTCGTGCAAGGGAGAAGGGAGGTGCATCGTCACCGAAATCCAACGAGGGAGATGCTGCCTTCGTCGAGCAAGGGAGAAGAGAGGTGCATCGCTGCCGAAATCCAACGAGGGAGGTGCTGTCGTCGTCGAGCAAGGGAGAAGGGAGGTGCGTCGTCATTGAAATCCAGCGAGGGAGGTCTTGCCGTCATCGAGCAAGGGAGAAAGGGAGTGCATTATCATTGAAATCCAGCGAAGGAGGTGCTGTCGTCGTTGAGCAAAGGTCCAAGGGAAAGTGGAGTTGAGAGATTGAATTGAGACTGAGTGCAATTATCTGAGAAGGGAGTCGCGATTTTGGAGAGTTAAGAGATTGAAGAGAGGGGAGAAGTAGAGTCGCGTGAAAAATAAATTAGATTTAGGGTTTTTTCATTTTAAACATCGACCTGGTTCACCAAACGGTTCGGTTCGATCGAACGGGTCATACTGTTTATCCGGTTTGATAACGGGTTAAAGCGGCTTTTAAATAATAACGGGTTTTATATTAGCTCGGACCAGACATACAACCGGGTCCCGATTGAACTGGTTAGACCGACCGATCCTGTCCAACTTTTAAAATAGAGGTTTCTAGACGATTAAAAGAAAATCATCGCGCATAATTCAACCACCAAATTCAGGAGTCAGAACACGTGGACAGCATAAAACCGCATAGCATTGAGATGACGAAAAGGATATATTTTTTTTACTTTGGGTTTGGGTTGGGTAGGAAAATTAGAACACAAAATAAATACAATAGCTAATAAATTAGGATTAGAATTTTAAAATTTATAAAATATATCTTACGGCAAAATGACTGGGATAGAAGAAAATTATGGATTCAAACAAAGTCATCCTATATATACTAACAATAATTAAATTGTCGCATTATTCTCAAATCTCAGTATCAAATTCAGGTTGGCTCTAATAGAACTTTACGGATTCAAACAAAGTCATCCTATAAGAACTCTTCTCGAACTATGATAGTCAAGCTGGAAAAAAATATATAAAATGCTTTAATGGAAATGTAGCCATTAAAACAATATAACAGAAAGCTAACGAATTCTTATACAAAAGGAATTGAATTTGAAGTAAATTAAATGTTGTATTTAACTGAAAAATCCCAGTTGCGCTCCAGCTCCACATCAATGGAGGAGAAAATACAGAGGCCAATCTCCAGCCAACCAATCATCAAATTAATGCTTAATTACAATACTCAAATAAAGTGTCAACACACTCCTCATGGAACTAATGACCTTTCTATGCAAGATATGTAGATGATGTTTAAACCTCCGCATCCAAGAAAGTAGCTCTAGTAACTCTGAGATTAAGAAAATTAAAAATTAAATAACAAACCTCAAAAATTAACTATTAATTACTAAATATCCAGATACGTTCTTACCAAGAACAAGCCTCAGTTGAAGGTAGCTTGCATGTGTCTTAAATCTGTACAACAATACTTCTCCGGCAAAATCTGAAGAACGATAGAAAAAAATAAATACTAGTTGAATAAATGACTATTACAACAGATCACAGTACAATATCATGAAAGATAGGGGCAGTTAAGTAATGCTATTTTTTTTTTCCCATCTAAAAGAATAAATTCAAGATGAAAACGATGAAATGTATAGAGTATTTTGAAAATAACAAAAACATATTTTTAATATATAATTATCAAGAATACTGGTTAAGTATCTTAATAATTTTAGAACCAAAATTGAAATGACCTATAAAAATTATAATTAAAAAATAATACAACTCAAAATTGATTTTGGATTTTGACAAATGAATCTTAAAAGTAGGAAAAAAATACAAAGTTGTTTGCACTATTTTGTTTCTTTATAATTTCTATTATAAAGTATTTCCACCTCAGCAAGACAAGTAACCATCTAAATTTAAAATGGAATATGAATTACCAGATTTAGGATTCATCTTTGGTGAGAGACCATACAAGGAATACTTAGCATAGGCCAGCAGCCTGATCCGTTGTGGTGCACCCAACTTGCTAATTACAGACCTCATATGCCCACTGGAAGAAGAACCAAAAATATTAATTGGTCGGAAAGCTTCTTCAGCATTCAGTTTATAGGTTACTGAACTCTTACTCTGTGCGAAATACTGTTAGAAAGTCAGGCGGTAGAGACTCCATGAAAGAAGATATATCCTCCATCGTTAGAGACTCTAATTCCGGCTTCAATTTCCTTTTCTCTTCCACTGACATTCCCTTCCCCAGTGCAGATTTACTGTCAATCAGATTAGAATAGCACAATTAGGTTAGTCTCTGTTTTTTTTTTTTTTTTTTTTTTTTTAAATCCTTTTTTCTTGATCACTCTCTTTTATTTCATATGTCATTCCATACGGCAATAACCCATAAACGAAATGCAAGTACATAGTTTAGATAGTTGAGATTCAAAGCAACTTGCATAGTTAATGCATCTTGAGAATGATATAACTTAATCTCAACCATTCAAATGTATTTATATATGTATATACACACACACACATATCTTAATAAGAAGAGTGAGAAAAGTTTGACCTGTCAACAGTTCTTCCTGTAAAAATGAGGGGGAAGTACTTAGAATACTTTCCAACACCAAATCGTTCACCAAGATGATATATTTTGTTGGAGTCGAGAAGAATCAATGCTTTCCACAGCTGACAATATTCCACTCTAAATGCTTCATCCAAAGTTTTGTAGATTCCATGATCTAAAAGAACTGCATTGTTTAAATAAGAAACGAGAAATGGTGAACTCCATACACCCAAGTTTATAAGGATCAATTTTGTCCTAAAAATATTTAACAAATTAAATTGTTAATCAGGACATACCCAATGAAAAGCCATTCTGACCTTCTGGAGAAACAAATATATTACCAGGGTGTGGATCTCCATGAACAAAACCATGGACAAATATCATTTCTGCAAACACCTCTAACAATGCTTTTGCAACCTAACATTTAAACTAAGCAAAGATAGCTTAAATGATTGAAGTTAAACGTTGAAGAAAACAACAGAAAAACAAAGATAAAAAAAGCCTGCTCAAATAGAAAAGAAGGTTGATCCAGCTATTGCGGGCCTTCAAGCCTCAAGAGAGAACAACTAATTTAGCGATAACTCAAACAATCATGACGATGCCTGATGCAATAACCTTTACCACATCGGGAGAAGAATATGAATAATTACATTACTTTTTGAGTTTTCTTAGCAATAACACATAGTTTCATGTGACCTATCGATTAAATAAATAAAAATGAAAAATCGGATGAGATGGGCCTTCCTGGCCCACAAATAAAGATTCTTAGTCCATGAATTTTTAGGGCATGGACAGTCTAAGACAAACCCATTCTTTGTGAGTTTTTTAAATAATAAAAAGGAACCAAATCCGTTCCCATTCCAATGAACCAAATACCAGTAAGTCTCTCATTTTTCTATTCTTTTAAATATACTTTTAGCTTAACTAAACTCTATAAACATAAATTCTTTGTCATTAACCAAGCTTAAACTCTCATAACCTACTCCTTTGAACTTGACTAATATTTTATAAAACCAATCCTTACCCTTATTCTCTCAAATCATTCCTACACCAAATCCTACCCTTCATCCCAATAATTGAACTAATATCCTAAGTTCTTCAGGCTGTTTGAAGAAGGTACAGGAATGTCACATCAGTAAAAAATTATTAAATTGTTCACTGTTATGTTTCCCTGTAAGGTTCTGTACTCACCAGAGTCTTGATAAAAATTAAAAGATATAACAGTTAAACGAAACTATACATTAAACAAAAAAAGGAAAACACAAAAACATAACTCAAAATGAATAAAAAAGTAACCTTTATTGCATCTATTCTTCTTTCCTTCAAAAACTCCAGATCATCAACCTGAAATATAAGTAAATTCCTGTTAATAGCACATCATAGTAAAGTAAACAGCATACTACCGTATTCATACTATTCTAAGATTGATAACTCTTGCGTCAGTATATTTACATTATACAAAACTTTCTTCAGGAGGTTCTTACAAAATGCATTTTAAGACATCAAGAAATTCATCATATCATAATATTATCTGCAAAACCTGTAAAGACAAAAATATGGATATTTAAACCATACCTTGCAGCTCTTATGAAAAAAAAAATAAGTAAACCATACCTTGCACCCCCTACAGAACTCCATTGTCAAAACATGCTTAGTGGTCAAATCCTGTATACGTAAGGTGGTGGTGGTGGTGGTGGTCAGATTGCATGAGACATGAATCATATAAACACCTCCAGATTTAGACACAACAAGACAAAAGACAAACTAACAAAGACCATGAACTAATAACACAAAGGACTGTTCTATCATACCCAAAAAACATTAGGAACCCGGACTATGTCATTGTTTTTAAAGTTCTCAGCCGTTTTCTCAGCATTTCTAGCCTCTTGAATGAAATCTGTGAGACACAACATAGAGGGAAAACACTATTATTTATTTAACCTTAAGAAACTGACTAAAGGAAAAACATTATTAAAAATAAAAATATAATCAACTGAGAATTTATTCACGGAAAATTATCTATTCTCAACCACATAAAATGAAAACAAATATGAAATGTAGAACTGATAGGATAGAAAATAAGCAAGAAAGGGTATTGAAAGACTTAGAAAAGAGAGAAAACATGAGGAATTGAGGGGAGAAAATTAACTTTCATTATCAATATTCACTATAAGCATATCAAAGTCTAATTTGTTAGGCCAGACCTAAAACAAAAAGTGCATAGAAATCTACTTTAAAAAAACAACCTAAATCCTACTTTAATAAGAAACAATATTGAAAATTACTTTTACTTCAACAAGCAAAAATCCAAGTGAAACATTACAATAACTTTTATTTTTTGATAAAAAGAACAAAAAGATACATATTACTGTGAAGAAAAAAAGCCAAATTGGTGGACCAGGTATCCTCTACAACAAAAAAAAAAAACCTATCTATCTAGGGTCCAAGGTCCAAACACCATGAATCTGTGCAGAAAGAACAAACAAAAAAGCAAGGTACTACAACCAGAACAGCATCAAAAAAATTAGATGAACAAAAGTTCAAAATCTTTTGAGACAAGACACAGAAAGATGCTAAAAGCTTGATTGGTTCCCATAAAAAATTGATTTATTCTCCTCCACTATCCTAAAAAATCCTTGTCTTTCACCGTAAATCACTCACAAAAGAGCTAAAACAACAAACTTTCTAAGTAAATCAAAACCAAGTATCTAGGAGTGACTCAGAACAACATTTCCTACAATGACAGATCCTAGATTCAGCATCATTCTCCCCCCTTGAGAAAAACTTCACTCCGAGCAAGATAGCTTGAAAAGAGGCACCATGTCTCAAGTAGATGTTGCCATTAAACTAGAAAATTTTCAAACTTGATCTCGTGTAGAAATGGAAAAGAGATAATACAAATATCAGCTTATTAATCCACTAGCTTACACATAGACGGGTGGAAGTCTCCATGTTGCATCAACTGTCTTGGGTTGTGTTGAAGGATCCAAAAATAGCCAAAAAGACCCATGGGAGGTTTGAAAGTGCCTTGGTTAGAACATGTATTTGACATTGTTACACTACAAAATAATTTCGAAAACGGGCTAAGTAGTTATAATGATCTGGTGACATTTGAAGGCAATTTTAAAAAAGATTCACAACTTCTGAAATCAGCATCAATTTCCAGTTCAGGGTGATTAACACAAGTCGAGCTGGTTACTAGTCTCAATGTGATCATCACATTTAGCATCTTTACTCTAAACTTCACCCTTTTAGCATCATGATTACACATAGGATTAGATTAGACTCTTAGGATTGTTCTTACTATAATTTGGTACACATAACGAGGCTATGATTTGGACAGGTACTACAAAAAGATTCAAGGTATTTTGGGTTTAGGCTAGAAGATATTAGGGAAGGTTGACTTGTGATAAAACATTAAAGGCTTGTTTGATTTGTGATTCAAAAATAATTTTCAAAAACTAAAATACGATNATAGCCAAAAAGACCCATGGGAGGTTTGAAAGTGCTTTGGTTAGAACATGTATTTGACATTGTTACACTACAAAATAATTTCGAAAACGGGCTAAGTAGCCATAATGATCTGGTGACATTTGAAGGCAATTTTAAAAAAGATTCACAACTTCTGAAATCAGCATCAATTTCCAGTTCAGGGTGATTAACACAAGTCGAGCTGGTTACTAGTCTCAATGTGATCATCACATTTAGCATCTTCACTCTAAACTTCACCCTTTTAGCATCATGATTACACATAGGGTTAGATTAGACTCTTAGGATTGTTCTTACTATAATTTGGTACACATAACGAGGCTATGATTTGGACAGGTACTACAAAAAGATTCAAGGTATTTTGGGTTTAGGCTAGAAGATATTAGGGAAGGTTGACTTGTGATAAAACATTAAAGGCTTGTTTGATTTGTGATTCAAAAATAATTTTCAAAAACTAAAATACGATTCAAATTTTTGAATTGTATCTTAATATCTTTAATTTTTGAAAATGTGTCAGATATGATATTTAAAAATTGTTTTCAGATTAAAAACAATTAGAAAACTGTGAAAAACAACTTTTAATCGTTTTCTAGGCTTCGTTTGGCTCACATTTGGGAATACTACTATTAGTACTCCCAATAAAGTTAAACAGTAAAATTGCAAAAGCTCACAATATTATTCAACTTTTTTTAAACCCCCCAAATTTGTTAATTTAATTAAATACCCCTAAATATTTTTTTAGAAATTGAAAAAAAACCCCAGCAACCCATATTTACTAGATTCCGGCCACCATAGCCAGAAAATGGCCGGAATCTGGTATAATGACGCACTACCGGCTGAATCTGGCCGGTAGTGCGCCGATCTAGCCTTTTCCGGCCAGATCCACGATCTAGCTTTTTTCGGCCAGATCCACGATGGATCTGGCCGAAAAAAGCCAGATTTTTGGCCGTAGTCAATCGTTAACGACGGCCAACACATGGTCGTCATTGACCAACGACGACGACCGTATCTTTGGCCGTCGTTGACGAGCAAATACGGCCAGATCTGGCCGTCAACGGCCAGATCTGGCCGTAGATCTAGCCTTTGCCGGTGGATCTAGCCGAAAAAGGCCATATCAGCGTAAGACCAGCAAGATCCAACCGGTCATGCGTTGATACGACGACTCCGGCCATCCTTCGGCGGTGGTGGCCGGCTGTCCATATTTAATGGGTGGGTTGGGAGTGTTTTTGTTAACTTTTAATGTTTTATTATAAGGGTTTTTGGTAAATAAACAAACATAAGGGGGTGTTTAATAAATAAACAAATATAGAGGGTATTTTTATTTATTTTCAAATCCTACATCGTAATACCACCAAATTCAACTTTTTTTAACTTTTTTCCAAAAACTTTTCTAAAAAGTGTAAAAAAGTGAACCAAACAAAGCCCTAATTTTACACTAGTTTTTAAGATTATATTCGCAAACTGTTTATGCAGACAATTAAGACTCATTTCTACCAAACACGTTTTCATAAGATTTGTTGTATCCCTTGATTTCAAAAACCAAAAACTTTATTCACATTTTATATCAAACGGAACCTAAACAATTGGCTATTTTTCTAAAAGCTATTGGATTAAAATTTTGTTTTAAAAGGAGAAATATTTAACCCAATTTGCTCATACCCGTATCAAGGTATCTATATGCTGGGTGTGATGCTTTGTCATGTTATTTATATCTTGTCATAGCATTCATCATAGGTTAGTAGCATGGACATGGATCAAAATGTCATTTGAAAAATAATTAGTAAACCAAATTAGTAAACAAAAATAAATAAATAAATTTATGCAGTGAATTAATGAGCACACAAATATACCAAACCTTGTAGTGTAATGTCAAGAGCCACTGTTTAGCCTCACAACTCGTTGAACTCAAAAATCAAATAAATAAATACGTACGAAATTCAGTGATTTGAAGTGTTTGTAAATGATGATGGCATCAGCTACGATAGGAGGGAATAGGGTTTAGTAGACATCTTGGGAGCACACCACTGCAAACAGTGAAGGAAAGAGGTTCTTGTAATGGCCAATGATTCTAGGTGATATATGGTTGACTTGATACTGTTGATGGCATATGTGGCTGTCAGCAGAGGTCATGTGGTAAATTGATTTAAGAGGGGATCAGATTGATAGGAAAGAAAGTCAATGGCAATGGCAATATTATGTCACATGTTGCATGCAAAAGTAATTGGAACATAGTTAGGATCTAATACCAAACTAATCTAGAACTAGAAAGGAAAGGTGAAGGATTAAAAAGATAAAAAAGAGGGATAAACTAAAAGAACTAGAAAGCGTCATAAACAAGAAGCATTTGGAGGGAAATTATACCAATTTCCATTATCAATATCCAATGTTAGTAACTTTCATAAAACTAAAATCTAGGACATATTTATATAGAAGCCAAACAGTGATAAAATAGGAAATACAATTTCACTAGCAATAAGTAACCAAAATCTTACTCTTATCTGAAAACTCTCTAGTTCAAACAAGCAATACTGAGACTGAACAATTGAAATTCCGTAAATATAAAGACTTTGAACAATAACAAGATCTTACATCCTCCATCAGTTTGTTTCATGCATAAATATTATACTAGTACATGCTCTAATTGTTTTATTAATTTCGTTAAAAAGTGCACATAATAGATTATAACACTATTTATGATCATGCAAATTGAACTTACACGTCAACAAATACATTATAATTATTTACGATTTACCAAGGTTTTTCTCAATCCATTGTATTAAAATATTACTTACTAGCAAATCTAAAATTTAATTGGCTTTATATTGAGGCTAACATAAACAAAATCAGTGTAAAGTTTACTAGGCCTAGCAAAATTGTACACATCCCATTAACACAATATCTTTTGATTAAAACAGCTGTCAAGTCTAGGTTTATCGGATTAAGTCATTAATGAGTCAATCTGTTAAAACAGTTTTATTAATAGACTGTGTTTGGGTTTAATCTCTAAAAACCATTTCACCCGTTAAACCACTTAATTAGGGTATTTAGTAATTTTATCTAAAACATTTATAATATTAATTAGTTAAAGGAAACTTTTGATGATTCATTTATTATTTTGAAGATTTAATCATAATTACTCCTATATTATTTTTGTTGATTATGTGTTTATGCTTGAGTACAGAATTCTGGTATAAATTGTGTACAATGTGTTGAGTTATATTTTGTTTCTTGAATAACGAAAAATAAAAATATATTCAATGGATAAGGTTTGGATTACACATTAACATAATGAGAATTGATAGTTCGACTCAATAAGATAATAACTGGATTTGCAAAAGAAGATTTTGACATGTCACAGAAATACAATATGACATGATGCCGATTTATCACAACTACTTATCATGCCTAAGTGTTTACCCTCAGAAAAGCTAGAGTGGGCTGCTTCCTATGTTTCCAAATCCCCTCAAACATCTTTAATGTCTACCAACATCAAATAGCCAAAAGAGATATACTACATATTACAACCTTAAAAAAGAGAAAAAAAGGAAAAAGGAAAAATGTTGGCTGGAATATGTATAGATAATAATACATTCTATTACTCACCGAGTTCCAAAGAAATGGCTCCCCCAAATTCTGATATCAGCCACTCAAACCTGTACTCAGGGAAAAACTATGGACATAGAGAACTATCAAAAATCATGAAGAACATTGGGAAATTAAAAATATCAAGTACGAGAAACTTAATTCTATTTAGATTTGAAATTTGTAACAAAAATTCTGCAACAAATATGTAAAAAAGTCATAATGGTCAAGAATGTGGGAGATAAGTGAAAGTAGATTAGGTGATTAACGTAAAGTGAAAATGAAAGACACAGTTGGATTATAATCAGAAGAAGATCAGGAAGCTGAAACGACACAGGAGGGATATTTCAAAATTTGCTCTCTAAACTCATTTTCTCAATACAGCCACAATCAATATTTAAATTTTTTATTGCTTTACACACCTAATTAATTACCAACTTTAACCCTAACTATATATATACACCCATCAGCACACACTTATAGGAAAAACAGGCCCAAAATATCATCAAATAAGGTTGCTGTTACGTGATGTAAGAAATAATGTATGAGAAGCGAAGAAATGGAGAAAAGAGCCGGAAGGCAATCAATTAGTCATTGGTAGAGCAATCATGGGAAATGGGATTAAGCACCTTTTGGCTGTTATAATTATAATTATGTTTCTTTTTCTCAAATTTTTTTTTTTTTTCTTTTTTTGTTTTTTTCTAATTTTAGAGGCGGAGGTTAATGGAAAGGCTTTTACATATAATATATCAAATAATATTAGTTTAGGGCATTATATTATTAATGATGCCGTGTTAAAATTATTGTACAGACTATTGTATTATTCTAGGAACTAGTTAACAAATCTGAAGAAGTGGTTTTAGCAATTTCATTTTTTGACACAGTGACAGAGGAGCAGACAGATAAAAAAACAGAATTAGAGAAAACAGACAGGATATAGGGAGAATTTAAAAGAAAGGAACAAATCTAGAAGAAGATTCAGACAGAGAACTCAGGAAACAATATTTTATCAATTATTCAGCAACCATTAGTTTCTCATATAACATAACACCTATTTATAGGCTTAGAATCCAAACCCTAATGAAAACATAATTTTAGTTCTAATAGAATAAGAAAATAGAAACTAAAATAACAAGGACAAAATTAACCCTAAAATACAACTATATAATGACTAAATAATCCTTGCATCCACTCTTATGTCCTTCATCACATAGTTTTATCAAATTTTTGGTTTTCATTTTTGTAAGACATCCTTTCAATTTGGTTCAAACTTTTTTCCAAAAATGAATTGAACTGAACCAACTCATTCACATCCCAACGGCCACAACATTCACATGTAGTGCCATGTGTAAAACAGTAACAACGTTATATAGGTAAGGGAAGGTGGATGATGATGTATGAAAGTATGAAGGAAAACTATGGAAACATCATGATAAAATAAGGGGTTTGGATATATAAAGTGATGAGCATCCAAGCCAGAGTAAAGAAAAATGACTTGGGCAGATGAGTTGAAACAAGGTATGTGCTGGACTAATATGGTTAATAGAAGGTCACAACTAATGAAACCATTCAAGCAACGTGAATGACCAAACATAAAACACAGGAGACTTGAACTTCTCCAAGGAATCCACATCAAGAGGCCCACCCACGAGTCCTCAACTTACCTTGCATGCCTAAACCTCTATATCACCCCTCAAAACATCAATATCTGCTCCGCATTCGAGATAAATTTTACTAAAATTTGAAATTTAAATGGTATTTTCGACAATTAAAAATTCTAGCAACAAAAATCATAACTATACTCATTAAATTAAATGATTTAACAAAATCAATTTTGTGTCTCCCTTGTTTTTTAACAATGGCCTCAATACCATATTAAATAAATAAAGATCATGAAGATTTAACATTTTATTTTCTTACATAATAGAAATGCATAATTTAAATTCAAGGGTCAAATTCAAATAACCGGCAACACGTAAAAAAATTAGTGTTAAGAGATTCAAAGCGCACCCATGTAACAGCCTTTGAAAGGAAAGACATAATTGTTGTGTCTAGTCTCATCTTATGCTCTATTCCTGGGTATTGCACCTAATTACCACAAGAAAAGGCACATAAATATTTATCGAGTACATAATCAAATTAAAACAGCTTCATGAACAAATTATGGTCAGCTGACACCATATGCAAAAACCAAAAATCAAAAACAACATTAACAAAAAGAACATGGAAGTCAATTTTCTATTGGATCCAATAGGTTAGGTTCAAGAGCCCACAACTTGAACACAAGTTTTGACAATTTTTGAGTCCTTCAATGGTTAAGATAGCACATATGCTGTGTCATTTCCAAAATGCATTGAATATCAATCATACAAAGTGAACTAATCTAATGAACAAACAATTGAGTCAAAAAATGGTACCCTTGAACCTTTCCTTAAATATATACGGAGGATGAAAATTACAAATATATAATCTACAAGGGCTAAATGGATATTTGGATGTTATTAGTTCTGTTCAAAATATTTGCAAGTTAGGGTCTCTATAAGGACTTCAAATAAGGAGGATGAAAATGAAAAAAAGAGGGCTGAATAGAGAAAGATATTATTACTTGAGCATTCAAATTTACACAGATTGGGCTTACCAGTTTACAAAGCAAATGAAGGGGCATATATAGCTTAATACACCGACTATGTAAGCTAATTAGAAGCTGTCAGGATTTCATACACATGGCATCAAATTAAGGTTCATTAATAGCACAGTTTCATTTTGATCAATTAATGTCATTAACAAGTGCCACTCAATGACATAAACAACATTTGTATTGATGTCATGTATTCGTAAATTCTAGCAACTTCTAATTTGTTAAATCGGTTAAATATGCTATATAAGCCCATATATTGCCTTGTACAAAGAGTGCACAATTTGCAAAGATTGTGAGCAAATTAATAATATATATACAGAGAGGAGAGAGAGAGAGAGAGAGAGAGAGTACATTTCTAGTACAAATTATGAAACAATTTTTAAGTCATTAGATCAATGCACTTTGGATGGTTGAGATTCAATACAATTTGCACATAAAATGCATATTAAAAATGACAACTTAGATGCAGTCTCAACCATTCAAATACATTAATCTAATGGGTCAAAAATTGTGTCAAAACTTTTGTGAAAAACGTGAGACTTTTAAACCTATCCCCTATCTATATAATGAAAAGAATGATATGAGTGTGAAACAGCTTTGTGCTGCTACCATATGTGCTCATGCTATTTGAAAATTCATGCATTACCAAATGTACATAAACTCATACACTGATCTAGCAACCATGGATTATTATCCATTAATGAGGGTATATTGTGCAGCATCTTAGGTTTAATTCTCCTGCAAATGTTCTCCTACACATCAATTGCAACTTATCAACATTCTAATTATTGATTAGAAAAGGAAGTAAGCCAACATAGCAACATTTAAAAATAGTGCAGTTTGCCTACTATGGAATTGAACCTGGAACTTGGTTCGACTGGAAAGCAAAAAGCAAAGTCACAAAATAACTTACAAAATCTAACTGGAGAAATCAAGTCATGACAGCAATAAAAAAATTGAGCAAGAAGGAAGGATGTTCTAGCTCTTTTTATGCATAAATTGTTTACACATGCTAAGGGTTCTACAAAGTGCAAATTACATGTACATATAAAATGCACAATCAAGAAGGAAATTCTTCAGAAGTCTATCTGTCCACCCCCAAGAATGATATACTACAAAGACAACATGATTTCTTAAACTGGCATGACATGCTGACCAACCTTAATAGCGACTTCTTGATGATCTCTCAACACCGCATGATGTACTTGGGCAATAGATGCAGCAGCTATTGGTTGTTCATCAAAAGAAAGAAATCTGAAATTTGCATAGATCTCAAACTCAAAAAAGCGACCTTCTATAGACTTCCAAGGGGGACATTGTATACAAATAGTGGATTTTATCTTTATTTATTTTTTCCTCTTTAAAACTTGACCTGTTTTTACTTTTACCTTGGATTTGAGCTACAAAAAAACTTCCACAGGGCATGTTACCAACTAGGGAAGTGGCAAACACTATCATTTGCCTGTCATAATGAAAGAGAACATCCAGAAAAGAAGAGAGAAGGGGAAGACATGATTCAATGTGCTGCTAAGTTAACACATATTTAATATTGCTTATTCCCCCACAATTGATAACAAATGAGATATCTCAAAACACCATTTTAGGTCGATGCATGTAAATTAGACATGTGCAGCTATCCAACCGAACACAGAAAGTGAAACTTTGTCCTTCCTTGCCTATTTAACTCTTCCATGACATTATTGGATGCAAAAAGATCCTTGGTTATGCATGTTTAGAGCTTATTGTTCTAAATAGATTCTTGCTTCAACTTTTGACAGAAAGATTAAAAAGTTAAAGGCACATAGATATACCAGAACCTTGACCATCATTTATTTCTTTAGCTCAGACAAGCATCTTCCCTAATCACCGTAAGAATGAGTTCAATAACATATGTCTATGAATAATGGAGTATATTGATACAAGAAAAAGGAAAAGGACAAGAATGAGAATGAGGCAACTATGTGAATAATAGACGAAGGATTTCTATTGGTAAACAGACAACTTATGCAGCTACTTAAGTCCAAAATGAGCACAGTGGTATAAATTATTATAATGAAACAGTACCCTCCTACAGAATGGTTATTTAGATACCAAATTCCAACAAGCAAGGCAACATTTGATCCATGGTGTTACCTTCAAAGTTCCTCACCATTCAGACATAATATTATAAACAAATCCAATATCCAAGTTGAAATTTAGCCCAAGTCATATCTAAAGAAAAATCACATCTCCAAACTTTTTTTCATTGAGAATCAATCATAATCCGAAAGACAAAGGCAAAGAGAGGATAATGACATTAATTTTTACATATTCTTACTACTATGATTAAGTTCACATAAGGACCACATTTTTTTGCTATATATAGTTTACTTTTCACTTCTTTACGTATGTTAAGAGTTTAGAAATTATAGTTTCCATTTTGCATAACTTAAGCTTTTAGACTATTGTTGTTTGAACATGGTAGCAAAGCTTATTTGACAGAAAATTCAAGTGTTTGAATACTAAAAACCTCAAGATAAAATCAGCTCGTGTAGGTGTCTTGATAAAAAAATAATAATAATAATAATCCATATGTCAACTTGGGATCTTTTGGATCCATGTGACCTGTTACCTGAACTCATACACACATAGTGATAAGTGTTCAAATATATTATTGGACTTGCTATAACTTTAAGCTAAAATTAACTATTAAACTACACTAAACATGTGAACACATCCCTAAATGATATTCCTAATTGTACATAATTATATTCCACCTAAAAAATAAATGCCAGAAGTCATCCCCATCAGACAATTGTCCACCCTAAGATGCAAACCACATTCACTTTTACATTCTAAGTACCATACTGATCCAAATTTCAAGTAGTATATCATCCTATGTTCTAGAAATTTTGCACATAGTATAACATACTGGCACATTTATAGTACACATAAAAGAAAACTATGAATATGAAGCAATGAAATGAACAAGCACACCATAGTTGATCCCATGGCCTAAGACCTAAGAGGATAATTGATCCTTAAAGAGTGTGAAACAATCTATCTTTAGGTGGTTAGCTATCCACTCAAACCCTAGGGAGGAACTACAGTACAACCTATCATATAATCCAACCTCACCTACTAGTTATATACTCCATTTAAAGAGTGAAAGAATTTTCACAAATAAGAAAGACTTTTTTACTAAAAAATAACGAAGCCTAAAAGCTAGATGACAAATGTTAAAGACTAATGAAAAGATTAGACCATATCCCTAAGCATGTCATGCATTGACTAACATTAATCAAACTCATGAAAAGAAAAGACCACAATTCTTCAGTCACCTGTTTAATAATCATTAATCCCAAAAGCTGAAGCTTGTAGGTAATTGCCAACACAAAATATGAAAGAACACATCAATAGATATATGATATGCAAATACTAATTTAGCTGACCAAACAATAGCTTACATTTCAGAGAAATCTTGGCCCAGATTGCTAATTAGAACTTCTTTTATGGCTTTGAAATGACAAGGAACCGCCTACAGCATTATTTCCACAGTATTAGTTCAAGAGCCACTCAGATAAACCCTGCCTAAATAAATATCCACAAAAATAAGTCTTTACAGGCTGATTCAAACCTGATCCTGTAACGAGGAAAGAGTCAAAAAGTATTCTTTGGGAACCTGCCGCATCGCAGCAACAAACTGACCCGCTTTTACATAGAAACCTCTGTTGGTTTCACATAATTGCAGAATTCTCTTGGCTGAACGTAAATGAACCTAAATAATAGTACAACACCATACCATAAATCAATACTAATTATAAGTAAAACCCAGCTTTCCATTACTACTATCATTAGGCAAAAAATAAAAAAATTGCCAGTGATGAATTTTTCCCCTTTGGCTGGCACTAAAATAAATGATTGAAAAATATTTACACAGGACTAAATAATCAGATGCAAAATAAAAACATTAATTTCAAACGCGAAATAACCTTCATATTTACACAATTACAATGGAACATCAACTGATTTTCTAAGTAAGTAAAGAAGTAAAGTATAATATATTAATTTAATCCAGATTAATCTGTTATACTATGAGCATAATCTTAAAATAAACTATACAGTATGAACTTGGGCGATTGTGGAAGTTAAGTTATACAATCGATTGAAAAACAAAAGGAGACCACCTCAGATAATTTGCGACGATAATCACCGGAAGCAGTAGATAATCCATATAAAGAATATTTGTAGTCAGCAACAGTCAAAGCAAACTGTCAATTGTCAAATTTCAAAACACAATCAGCGAATAAACTAAGATGTTTAAGCACATAGTAAAAGAAAAGGATCAGACGGTGGAGATTGCGCGGGAGGAGCGAATGACGCCGTCGACACCAGCCGTAATTTTCTCCGAAACAAAATCGGAGCGATTGGAGGCGTGAATAGTGAGGCCAGTGGCTGCCAGTAGGAAAATTGTTTTCTTCAGTTTCGCTGGAAACTTGAAAATTTTCTTGGCCGTCATTTTTTGAAAGTTTGTCGGCAACGAGTCGAGAGTTTCTAAGGCAATTAAGTGATTGTTTTATTATTTTAAACAATATTTTTGAAAAAATTGAATTGGGTTATTATTTCTACAAGTAATTTAAATTTAAAAATATATTTGATAAGATTTATATGTTAATTTAATTAAACATCATTTATAATAAAAGTTCTAAAATTAATAAAAACACTTTCATTTATATATTAAATGCTCGCAGCTGGTTACTAGCTTCTAAGAATATGTGGATAGGTAAGAGTATTTTTCTTAATTTATAAAAAAATTTTGTTGAGAGTATGTAGTTAAATTAACAAATTTAGAGGGTTTAAAAATAATTGAATAAAATAAAATTAGATTTTCAAAATATAGAAACAAATATGTATAAAGAGTAGGATAGGGTAGAAATATTAAAACAAACACAAATTCTTGGGTTCAAGTCTCATGTACTAATAGTAGTCACCATAGAAAAAATTTAGTATCATATTAGGGTTTTACTAAAATTTAACCAACTTGGTTTTATGTTTTATTTATTTGATAATTGTTTTGAAATAATTAGAAAATAATGGAATTGGACAATATAATTTCATTTTCATTTGAAATATTGAAACTTCAGGACCAAAATGAATTAGTTAAGGTGCGCATAAATTATCCTAAACACCCCGATTAAAAAAAAAAGGCCATGTTTCTCCTCTCTATAAGGAATTTTGAGGCAAATTGCCATATTAAGTTTTACTAAAATTTGACCAATTTAGTTGACTAATTTTATTTTTTATTTATTTGATAATTGTTTTGAAATAATTAGAAAATAATGGAATTGGACAAGATTTTTTTGGAGCTGAGACCAAAAATTATTTAAGCGTGGGTTGAAACAAATTTGAAGTATAGATACGAAAAATTATTAATATTGTAGATATGAAGAAGACATTAATAAAGATATAACTAAACAAAATTTATTTGAAAGTAGAAGAAGAGTGGTGTGAAAATGACAGAAAAGAGAATTTGTGTTGAATTTTATTTTATTTTAAAAAAAAAAAAACAGAGAAATTATGGAATTGGTATCTTTGGTTGTATCCTGGTTTTCAAAAAAAAAGTTAAAAAAAAAAAAAATTGCATTTAAATACTATGTCAAACAAGGTTTAATTGTTTGCTATGAGCCTATGATTAAAAGATAATTTTGATATAAATAAATTATAATATGTATAAAGTGTTTAAACCAATCACCTTCCCCTGTGGTTTTCAAAATTGCAGTTGATCCCTTGGTTATAGGAATTATCTAATCACCCCCCTATGGTGAAAATCGGTCAACTTGTCAATGGAAAAAAATTAATAAAAGAGTAAAAAATCATAAGAACTTTTTGGGAAAAATAATTATAAACCTACTAAGTTAAAAAAATTTCTTCAAATTTATATTTTTTTTAGGGTTTTTTAATTGTTTTTAAAATTCTTATGTTTTAGGTAATTTTATTGAATTTTTTATGTCAACTTTAGAAAATTATTTTCAGTGGTATTCTGGTAATTGTAGCAGTCAAATTTGATCAAAAATTAGTTTTAACGAAAAAAAAGGGGAGGCGGTTGGATAATTCCCATAACCAAGGGACCAAGTCTAATTTTGAAAACCACTATGTATAAATTATGAATTTATATAAAATTAAAAAAATACATTTTTTTTTAATTTCACGATAGCTAAACCGTAGAGGAGCCAACCCGAGCTCCAACACTTATGAAATAAAGATCAAACTAATGGAGTTACAAGGACTCTTAAAACCTCTTTATTAAAATGGAGGTTCTATGTTACAAATACAAAATAGTCTTCACCAAAGACAGTGGGTACGCAGTGGAAACTATGAAGTACAAAAATTTGGTGGTACTAATTCTTTTAGCTTGTGGCGCAGTGAGGTTTCAATGCCTTATGTCAATAAGAATGTGGTGTTGCCATGAGAAGAGAGACAGAGAGAGAGAAAAAAAGAAAAGAAAGAAAATAAGTCTGGGTAAAAGATTAATCATCAACCTTATAATACCATTCATTTATGAATGGAGTAATATATTTATATTAAGGAAATGTTAGTACGAAAACTTTGACAAATTTGGGAGGAAAAGTATTTGATAATGAATACTAAACATAAGCTTATTTGAAGAATAAACTTTTACAATTTCATCTAGTTTCTAGTTTAATTTGATATGAAATCTCATTTTTTACTATGATTTGGAAGAGAAAACCTAAATGACTTAGTCAAATGGTTAAAAGGGTGGGTGAAAAGGAAAATTGAGTTCGCCAAATGATTTGAAACAATTACCAAAACAATGGTACAACATGTTTGACTGGCTTACTAGTATCATGAGTTGATATATGCATGGTCCGAGTAAAATATGTTAGCACGTTGTGAAATGGAGTCAATGTTATATAATAAGGCATTGCGGATGTTAGATTGGTTGTTGATAATCTTGTAAATATGTTGACAAGGTAATGACAAAGATCAGGTATTTCACTCTTTGAGCTACAATATGAAAAAGCAATAATCACTCCCTTAAAGATACAATGTTTATGTGATATAGATATAAATTAAAAGGACCTCTCTTTTGCATTTGACAATTGTGTATCTAGTTTCCTCCAAAGTAAATCTCAAATTTCAAAGCAATTAGAGAGTCAATTTCCATAAGACTAAAAAGAATCCCCTATCAGAAACCCTAACCTTGAGAATTTGCAACCTCTCAAATGTAGATCTACAACCTCTTAGAAACTTCCTAGACACGTTTGGGAAACCATTTGTTCGGCTGAAAAAGGCTACTCAATCTATGATGTGATAAAGAAGAGAATTGATAAGCTGGACAAAATATCAGTGTTGCCGAAATCAATATTGAACCATATTTTGCCATTCTTATCATAGAAACGAGTTGTTTGAACTAGTATATTGTCTAAAAGATGAAAAGAAATATGTCTGACATTTTCGATTTTAGTTGTCGTAGATCACAACCATTTTGGAAGGGAAAAAGAGGTGTTGAAGTATTTGATACAAAGTTTACTAAACCTTTATATAGAGATTAATAAGGAAGCTCACAATTTTGAAGTCTTTGCTTTGGATTGACTTGGAATTTACAGCAATGGTAGACCGATGGGTTTGCAATGCAATCTAAATTAATGCTGAAGAGCTTAGACTTCGATTTTCATTTTTCAAGAGAGGGTATAAGTTGCCCCAAATCGTGGTTTTTTTTTTTTTTTTTTTTTTTTTCAAAATCCTTAGATGTGTTAAGAGTTATCTGACTGTAAGCTATACCCACCAAGAATTAGAGTGCAGATTTCTTTGAGGAAATTGTCTCCGATGGATGTGTATGCAGAAGATCAAAAGATTGAGAATTTCTTTGCTAGGTGCCCTTTGATACTCTCTAAAGGCTTTAAAAGACTGGACTTCTGTAGACTTAGTAAACTCCAAGAAATCAAGGTTTTCTTTTAACAACAAGAGAATATTGTCTTTATGTATATAAAAATTTCTAGTCTTAGTCTCAAGAATTGGTCATCTATGGATCTAATTTGGTGATATCCTTTACTTCAAATGCTTTGGCTTTGTCAAAAACCGATCCACATGTCTATGGTTGTAATACTAAGTTTTTTGTTGAGTGTATTGAACTTATTGGAAACTTTTAACTTTTCTGAAGTGTTGAATTTGCAATGTCGCACAGGTATGATTGTGATTATTCCCTAAGAATTAGGCAAATCTTTCATCCTCTTTTATCCGGTGTCAAACATTTAAACTTCCAAATAGAATTTGATTTGTCGGATTTTTCAATTCCTAAACTTGTGAAGGGCTTACTTTGGCTTTCACCTCATATAGAGACTATATCAATGAATTTTTGTTTAGTATTCTAGCATAACTCCATCAAAATAAAAAAACAAAAGCAATCCAGAAACCAAATTCTTCTTAGCCACACATAGAGAACTTAAAACTGGAAGAAACTGAAAGAAAAAATCAGAATGCGGATCTTACAAGCAATGGAGAACGGGGTTTGATTATTAAATTTGAAACTAAAATAGTTTGCATATTGGAGCAATAGTCGGCGTTGCTGGTGAAAGAGACGGTGAGAAGAAGCGGTGGTCGATGGAAAATCAGTCGACGGAAGCAGTGGTTGACGGAAATCAAGGCTGTCGAATATAGGGGTTAGGGTTTTTTTTTCTTTTCAAATTGGGATTTGCAAATGTGTTAATCTGTTTTGCAAATTCAATTATTTGGGAAATTGGGGGTCACTTGTATTTTTACAAAGTTTTTCCTGTCAAATTTATAACCCCTCAATACTTGTATATATAGCAGAAAAACTCTTTCGAGCCACTCAAAGCTTGCGAGCTTTTCGAGCCGAGCTAGATGAGACTTGAACTTAGCTCGAACCATAGAGTGAGCCAATCATGAGCTTGCTCAGCTCAAAAATGGATGAACAAAGCACGAGTATTTAACGAGCTGAGCCACTCAACATCGCTAGTAACATGGTTAGCCTCAACTAATGTGCTTATATATTGTTGATGCGTGATTTTGACACCAACTAAACGCACGTGTGAAATGCTGAGCTGACTCAAAAGAAACACGTAAATACACAAAAAAAAAATGAGAATAAATGCAATGGGAACAACTTTTAAAGTGGTTCGGATGCTAAGGAAGCAAGTCATACGTCCACTGATATTTGTATTAATGATAAAGGTCAGGTCGCGTTAGCGGACTGACTTACAAATGATAGTACAAGAGAATGAATGCTATATATTCTTGAGAGAGAATAGCTAATCCCTTAAATGAGAGAGGAGCTCTCAATTTATAGTGGGATGGATTAAGGTTATCATTACTGAATATGTGAGTTGGTGGGATTATCCGTGCAAATCCTTCTTTATGTCACATTGCCCACCTTCTAGAGTGATTTACGCGATTTGGAGCAGGGATTGGACACGTGGGATCACCACAACTTCTGGCTAGACTGGCACGCACCCACTATTCTGACAAAAGCATGCTGCTCCTTTCCTCACGTGACTCGGCTGCGGGTGTACTCATGCTCTGACTAT